GGGACCTAGTGGGAAGAACTGAGGTCATTAGGACATGCCCTTTAGGAGGTGGAGCCTAGTTGGAGGAAGTGAGGTCATTATAACATGCCCTTTAGGAAGTGGGGCCTAGTGGTGATACCGCTGCTTATTGGTGACGAATCCTGCTTCCCCACTTGTTTGAACATTAGAGAAGCACACAGAGGCAAGCATATGAAGCAGGGTTTATTTAAAAAGGGGTAACACAGACTTCTCCCACAAGGGAGAAGGGGGCCATAGCTGGCATCATGGTATCCCCAGAAGCGAAGTATTCTGCCCTTTATATATTCCTAGGCTTCCTTTGTTCTCCTGCCTTTTCCCCCTTATCCTTATCCTTCCAGAGGAGTGACCAGGCTCAGGAATGCTCGGTGGGGTGACCAAAAGTGGGAAACAAGTGGGCTGAAGGGGGAAGCGCAGGATGGAGCAGCCAAGGACACATTAACTACCTTATAGCTTATAGGGAGGGGAAATTCCTTGATCAGGTTACACTGGAAGCATGTTGGAGCAGGGGCAGGTTCTTGATAAGGATGGAGGAAGGGCTCTGAAGGAATTAACATCTCAATCCCTCAGGGGACAGTCTCCAACACCCAGACTCACTCCAAATCGGCCTTGATCGATGTGACTCGATTACCTGTCTACACTGACTGCCTGTCTAGTTCTGGCTTCAGTGGGAGGAAGTTAGGTCATTAGGACGTGCCCTTGAGGGGATGTTAGTGGTCCTGCCCATCTTCTCTCTTTGCTTCCAGCCCCATGACCACGACCTACGAACAGCTTCTCACGGTGAGGTTCTGCTTCACCACAGGCCCCAAAGCAAAGGGACCAAGTGCCCATGAACTGAGTCCTCCCCAAGGTGTGAGCCAACACAGATCTCTCCTCTTTTAAATCAGTGTTCTAAGGTATCGCGTCAGAGTACCATACAGCAGACTGACCCACTGTTTCTCTTTAGGAAAAGGTCACCAAAATCCATAAGCACACCAGGGCAGGGGACCATACTTCCCATTTCAGGAATGAGAATGGAGCCATCAGAAGAACTGGAGTGCCCAGTCCCAGGATGCCCAGTCCCAGGGCATGCCTCCCTAAGCCCTGACCCCCTGCCCCCAGGGAAGGGGAGCAGGGAAGCAGGTTTGAGTCACCCGAGCTAGCTGCTGGGCTTGTGACAGGACATAGAAATGGTGGCCTGGGACAAACCCCTTGGGGAGGATGCTCTATGATGTGTGTGACTTACAGGAAGCACTGTGTGTACCAACACCAGGTCAGGAAATGATGAGGGCCTTATGAGGAAATCTCAGGCTGTGGGTGGGGATTCCAGCTCAGTCTGTTTACAGTCTGGATGGGCCAATGCGGCACACACAGCCGCGGACAGCACTCATCACCCATGCAGAGCAGGTCTCCGGTCTCAGACAGGGGAGACTGCCCTCTGCCTGAGGCTGTCAGGGACAGCTTCGCCAGGCGCAATGCTGGAGCAGGGAGGAGAGGGGCGTCAGTCCATTAGCTGAGACCACTCTGGCCATGCAGGGTAGACAGGGAAAGAGGCTTCCCTCCATCCCCTCAGAGATCACTTCCTGAAGTCATGCCAATAAGGAACTCCACAGTGTTTAAGAATTCCACCAAGCCCTGCCAGTAAGCATCTGCACTTCCCTCCCGGTGCCTCTGCAGAGAGAGGAGAGCCATTGTGTCTTAGGTATGCTCTGTTTCTACTGCAACAGGAAGCAGGTAAGAGCCTTTTCCGTCTACTTAGAGTAAGGCTGAGATTGTTCGGGGGGCAGTGATCCCTCTGGGTTTAGGGGGTATGAGCAGTGGGAATACTCTGAGCACCTTTCCAACCTGTCTGGGCCAGGCACTACATGTGCATATATGCTTCCTGGCAGCATTGATGGACAGACTCCATTCACAACCCAATTTTTTTCCCCATTGAGAAAACTGAGGCACAGCGATGCCAAGTAACTTTTCCAAAGTCACTCAGCTAGCAAGAGACAGAGAATTGAAAGCCAGGCAGGCAGTCTGAGTCTAGAGCCACCATCTTGACTGCCTGTTACCTCTTACTGATGCTTGCAAAGCTGCTCACTGACAGACATGCCTTGACTTCCCCTGAAAAAGTTTAAATGCTTTAAGTATCATGTGCCCTGTGCACAGCCTGAGTCTCTTCATTCTAGAAAACTGTTCTTCTGAGGTCCAGTTAAGAATCCATTTCTATCCCACACCTGCACAGGACTTAGAAACAGAATGAGGCCCAGCATTCCAGAATTAATCTCTGCAATGCGTGGGCCCCAGGACTCTGAGCAAACCAGTGGGAAACCCAGCTCTTCTGGTGGGTACCAGACCCTCCGGCTCTCACTCCCAGGACTCTTAGGGGCTTCCAGGGACACCTCAGCCCACCTCTGTAGTTTGTAACCTGCACTTGGATTCAGACAGCTGGTGAGAACTGAACTGAATTCCTTTTGGAATTGAAATAAAAATTCTGTGCAGGCACTTTTCTGGAAGGATGGGCTTCAGTCAAAGCTGTCAATGGGTCTGGGACACAGTAACAACTGTCACTTCATGGATCAATGTTCTCTAGTTCATGGTCTGTCAGGGACCGCAGGCCAGCCACAGTTCTGCATAATTCTTGACAGCCAAATCCTTGACAGTTTTGGACAAAATTAAGGTCCCCACCAAAGCCAAGCAATACAGGTAGATCTCTAAACACGGACCCGGAAAATAGTGAGTGTTCAGTGAACAACTAGTTAATAAATAATGGCCAGATGATATTAAGGGATTGTTCTTAATTTTGCCAAGTGGGAAAAATGATAGTATGATCCTGTTTTGAAGAAAAGTCCTATGCCTCTTTGTTGGGGAAGAGAGGAAAAGACAGAAGAATGGAAGGTGTTCCACAGTCTTTGAAGCTGGAGATGAGCACTATTGGCTCATTATTTTTGATTCTTAAAAATTCCATAAGAAAATCAAGACTGCTCTTCATACCCACATGCAAATGACTGAACCAAGTGTTATTTTTCCTAAGAAAAGACGCCCATGTTTGCGGGTTCAGATAGAATAGCATGTAGAATTGCCTGTGCTAGTCCCTAACCCAATCTTGACCCATCCCTTGACGTCCAGGGCCAGGAAAACAGGGAGAATCATTGGCTCTCAAGGGTCTCACGACCCCAGCGCTCGCTCCCCTCTCAGCTTGCCTCTCCTTAGCCCTGCCTCTTGGGCACGCAACCTTCCAGGTCTCAGTTTTGCTGTTCTTAGAATGGTTGGCTCCTCTGAAGCAGAGGTGTGCAGGTGCCCCAAGAGGAGGTAGGGGGAGGCCTCTCCGAGCTGGGCAGGTGAGCCTGGGATTCTAGCATTTTCATGAGATTGCTCGCGGACGCTTGGGTGGGTGGAGACGATCACGATGAAGAAGGAACACAGGCTCACACGCACTTACACACACGGACACACGCACACACGCACCACCCTCCCTTCTTCCTTCCAGTCCCCTTCCTTTCACCCCGCCCTCTGGGGGGCGGTGCCCTGGTCCCTGGGGAGGTCCCCTGGTTGGGGGCTCGGGAGGATTGCGCCTAGCGGGGTAGCGGGTTGCCGAAGGAGGGTTTGGGCTCCGGCTGCTGCAGCCTGGTGGCCAGCACCGCGGGGCCCCTCCTCTGCGCCGCCCTCGCC